CCTCTTACAATCCTTTCGCAAGATCCCTCCGATTTCACAGCGTTAACTCCAGGGCACTTTCTCAAAGGAACACCCATTCTGGCCTTACCTGAGCCGAGGCGTGGAATCGCTATCCTTATTAAATCGCTGGGAAAGAATTAAAATTCTCCATCACGATTTCAGCCGCCGATGGAAAGAAGAATACATAAAGGATCTACATAAACGATACCGTTGGAAGACTTCTGAACAAGCACCAAAACTTGGAGATTGTGTCATCATCCATGATGATTGTCTACTTCCTACCGAATGGCGGCTTGGGCGCATAGAAAAGCTACATTACGGCTCCGACGGTCACATACGAGTGGTTGATCTTCGTACACAAAGCGGAATGCTAACTAGACCGCTCGTGAAGCTCTGCTTTCTCCCAACCGTCAAAAAACCAAAAAACCGAAAAACTCGTTAATAACCGTTAAAAATAACAAATAACTAATAAAAAAATGGTCCATCAATACGATGACCAATTCATGCCACATAGCGTGGCACGATCATCCATATCCTTTATATGACAAATCTGCATAATTAAACAACTCTTTCATACAGATTAACATGGATGTGGATACGCCAACTGTGCGGTCGGCTACCAACGTGCCACGCACGGGGCCTACCCCAACGCTCCGATCTGCAGCTGAAACTGCCCCTGCAAGTGCACCTGCAATGACACCGATGTCCCATTTGTCGGCGCCCACATCGCCCGCAACATTGTGGAATTTTAAGAGGTATGCGATCGTTGCAACGACAGCAAGTTGCCCAGGCACACGAGCACTGTCTCAACTGCCTATCGCACACGCATGGGACTCAAGAGTGTGTGTCCACACACTACTTCATCGCACCTCGAGGCGCGACGTCGGTCGGCCACCTACTCTTCGAAGCCGCGCAACAGGACCTCGACCCTCAACTCGTGCGGTACATCCGCGGAATGTAACACCACGGCGTCGACAGCCTAGACCGCAACCACGTCGTTCCACGGGTCTGAGCAGCGTTGTGGCAACGCTACAACAGCTGCAGCGACTACTAGGCTAATCAATTGCCTAGGGGGGTCGAGATGGCTAAATGAGCACTCAATCCCCCCTCACCATAAGACACTGTCACACCACCACACCAATTCACCTCCATATCACCACACCTACTTACCATACATTCCACACCACTACAACATGCACCAACACGCACTAAAATACAACTTAACACTGATCACACCACATGAAGACATCAGCAGATATATAAGGGACTAAAAGAAGGATCCTCCCCGCTTTTTAGCATTTCGACTCGCTAGCGATCAGATCTTCGAGCACCCGCCTAAATCGACTCCTTTTTTAATTAGTATAATAATTTGCCAACGGTGAGTGAAGTTAAAATTAACTTATTAAATAACTTATAAATATACATTTTATAGAGTCTCCGACGTTTCCTTCTGGGTGTTACAAACTTCGTGGCAAACTTAATATACCCTGTTCAGGGTATAAAAATCATGTGTCCACAAATTTGGTGTTTGGGTCCTTGAAAAGTTATTGTCCGATTTCGACAATCGTTAGATAAAATATCTTGAGCACACTACTTTTTAACCTAATAACTTCATTGATGTTTGATTTGTGTACTGTAAAGTAAAAGAATCAGATGGAATTTAAAATTGTGTTGTATGGGAAAGAGGCGTGGTTGTAGTCCAATTGCGCCCATTTCTACAGTGTGCAATAGGATAACCTAATACACCAAATTTGGTTCAAATTGGTTAAGTAATTTCTGAGATATAGGATTTTAAAATTTTTCCTCCAGCTCCTGGCTGTGAAATTTAATGCTTGTGCCTCTTTTATTCAGTGAGTTATCGCATTTTGAGTAATTTTCAACATAACCGTTATATGGGAAGTGGACGTAATCATTATCTGATTTTTTCCGTTTTCACAGTGTATAAAGAAATGCCAAAACGACTTCTTCTCAGCGAGTTTGGGCGGAGCCACGCCCGCTTAAAAAAATATTTAGCCCACAAGTGTCCTCACCACTGCGATTCCCTGGAGCAAATCACAGTTTTGTATCTTAATTTAGTACTTAGTTATAACATTTTATAGGTTTTCGTTTAATGGCGTTTTGTGGGCGTGGCAATGGTTAGATTACGCCCATCTGAAATAACTGTCACAATGTGTGAGTTTCATTAAGATGTCTTAATTTTTACTCAAGTTATCGCTTGCACGGACAGACGGGCGGACAGACAGTCACCCGATTTTCAACTCGTCTTGTCACCCTGATCATTTATATATATATATACAAGTATAACTCCATATCTATCTCAATTAGTTTTAGGTGAAGCAAACAAACAATCGGTGAACAAAACTATCACACTCTGTGCAACATGTTGCGAGGGTATAAAAATGTTGCGATAGAATTCAACATTAATTGTTCGACGAAAGCGTGATAAATTCACAATTAATTACTTCCCATCAGCGAAAATTATTTTAGTCATCCTCAAGTGAAATATATGTATGTGATATCAACCGACGAGGCTAAATTTAATATATTGAGTTGATATGAAATACGTCAACCAAAAGATAGGAATTCATTTTATTAAGGATTATTCATTATATTATAAGGCTTAAACCAAGACCAATTTCATATATATAGAGCACCAAAACTATAAATATAATTTTATAACTTTAAAGAAAACTTTTCCACTTAATTTTATTAAAATATTATATACACTGTTATTAGAAAGACAAGCTCTTTTAATCTCATTAAAATAGCTCCCACATTAGCCGATATATGTAGTATAAAGAAATATTGATCTGATACAACCTATTTTTGACACAAGGTTATATTACTTGTATATAAATATATTCATTTGTGCTTGATTTGTGTAATGGAAAAAGAAAGAATCATATAAATTTAAAATTGCGCTATATGGTAAATAGGCGCGGTTGTAGTCCAATTGCGGATCGTCAGGATAATTTTCTGTACCGAATTTGGTTGAAATTGGTGGAGTAGGTCCGTAGGTATGTAATATCACCTAAATGTGGGCGGTGTCGCGTCCATCGTCCAATTTTGACGCCGGCTCCTATAAAGCATTCTTGTATCATCCCGGTAACAAAATGTCATGTCTCTGGCGGATGCAAACATTGAATTATCACGATTTTATTAATTTTTAACAAAACCTTAATGAGAGGCGGCGGGATTATAATTCGATTTCATCAATTTTTATACTGTCGGGATACTACTTATAGGATTTGTCCTAAACGAATTTGGTTATTGTAGTTATAGTGGTTTAGGAGATATGTACATTAAGCTTATTAGGAGCCCATTTTTACAAAAATTTTATCCCACAGTTGCCCCTTGCTACTTCAATTTTCTGTACCAAATTATAGGTTTACATCTTAATTAGTGGTTAGTTATGGCATTTAATAGGCTTTCGATTAATGGCGTTTTGTGGACGTGACAGTGGTCCGATTACGCTTATTTACAAATTCGTCCTCACTTTTTTGCCAAAGAACACATAATATATTCACATATAATATTTTCGGCATTAAGCTAAAGTATGTTCAATACTATACGTTCAGTTAATTCTGCTAAGATATCTAGGATATTGACCGATATATACGGTATAGGTCAACCGGAAGTTTGAAAAGCTTTTATTGGGTATATGGGAGAAAGGGGTATTATTGGCCCGATTTTATCTATTCTTGGGATTACTCCATATTATTTACACAAACCGATGCCCTCTGAGTCTCCATAAGGTACCTCAAATACCGTCAACAATATGTATATAAGGAGTAAAGTAAACCGGATGCTTGAAAATCGTGATATTAGTTATATGGGGGCTAGGGCAAGTTTTCACCCGCACTATTCGGGCAAAGTTTTATCCCGATACATTCATTGTTGCTTTGATTGATTGATTGCATACTGGAAAGTGTAAGAATCAGATGGAATAAAAAATTGTGTTATATGAGAAGTAGGCATGGCAGTGACTACTTTCGACTATCTACGAACGTGATCTCCCGATTTGATCAAGGAACAAGAAAGTTCCATAACGATATCTCAATTCTTAGTCAAATTATCGCTTGCACGGACAGACAGACAGTCGCCCCGTCATTCTGATCATTTACATATATGTACGTAACTCCATATCTAACTTGATTAGTTTTAGGTGTTACAAACAACCATTACAAAACTATAATACTCTGTAGCAACATGACAGTCACTAGCTTTTCATTTTTTCATTCAAATATCATTGAAATCTACCGAGCAGTTTTTGAGCTACAGTGGTCACCATTTCAAAAAACGTAGCTTTGAGAAAAACGCATTTGAAGTTTTACACTCGTGTGTACGTAAAGTTATACAGCTGCTGCTAGCAACCTGCTATCGAACGTTCCAGAGCACCCGAGAACCCTTTACTAATTATCGAATAACTCGGAAAAGTATTTGTCGAATTTACTTCATATTTTCAAAGAATGTTTCTAAGATGTTATACTTCATGAATAGCAAAAAATTGTTTTGAAACTACTGACCAGGGTTACAAATGATGCATTAAAAAATATTTTAATTTTAATAAAATTTTTTTAATTTGGTAATCCCAAATAGGGGATAAAGAAATATAAAATAAAAATTTTAATCCCAAGCATATAATTAAGAATTAAAAAAGAAATTTGTTTTAAAACTAAAATTTTTTCGCGTTCATTCAAGTTAAAAAATAATATTTTAATTTTTTTATTCCAAACATCTTGGATTAAAAAATGCTAATTTAATTGTTAGAGGAGTGAAAATAAAATATGCAAAGTTCACTTGTTCTTAGTTGATATTTTCTAAATATCATCCCCACTATAAATCATTTCTTGGATACACATATAACTTCCATAGTATATATTCCCTTAATTTATTTCTGAAGTTGCTATCCGAACAAACGGAAGGCGACATTTGCCTATTGGCTAACTTAAAGACGAGTGGGACCTCCGATCTATCAAAAATTAATTAAGATAACAATATTTTAGTTTACCATTTGAGGATCAAATTTATTAACGATATCTAAGCAATTTTACATAGAATAGTTTACAATTCCTTGGTCACATGTGTGTCACTTGTGGTTTTTGAATTGCGCAATTGCATGGATTTTGTTTAACAATTCGTTAAAAGACTTAATTTTTAATAACATTTAATAAAAACATCGATTCAAATATCAAATATCCTAAAATGTATGTTTGTTGGTTTGTTTATATATAAATTCAAACGTTGTTCATATCTATGCTGGTGTCTTGCAATTAATTACATTGCATTCCTGAGCTGTTGCGGTAGGCTTTTGTTGCAATAGTAGTTTTACTTTATTGTAAATTGTGTATTTTTAGGATATTTGGGTATCATTGCTTTGTTAATGTTTGTTCTTTGGCCGTTTCAAGTTTATGTTTTAGGTCAACAAATCTTCACTTTTTGTGATTTCAATACGCCTAAAATGAGTTATAATAAATGTGTCGATAAAATAAGATTGCATTTTGGGGTTTTCAATTAAATAATAGTTCCGCCTAAATGGACTTTAATAAAAATTAAATTAAATCTCAAAAGAATAATGTATATCAGTAATATCAAAATTAATTTATTTTGCTGCTGGTGTATCCTCAGGTGCGGGCAGTTTCTCCCAGGTAGGCTCAACTCCCCAAATATCTCTGGCGTATTCGGCAATGGTGCGATCGGAAGAAAATTTACCACTGGAAGCAATGTTGTGGATGGACATCTCTAACCATTTAGCTTGGTTCTAAAACAAAAAAGAAAACGAAAAATTTATTTCAGACAATAACAACAAAAGCAAACCCAATAGTTCTCACCTGGTAGGTCTTCGACACCAACTCTTGTGCCTTGATGTAAGCCTCGTAATCGGCCAACAAGTAGTAGTGATCGTACTTCAGCAAAATATCCGCAATGTTCTTGAATTCATTTGGATTGCTTGGGCTGAAGAATCCACCCTGTATTTGGTCGATGCATTGTCTGATCTCAGGATTCCTGTTGTAGTAGTCGTAGGCGTTGTATCCACGTTTTTTAAGCGCCTCCACCTCCTCCACGGTCATACCGAAAATGAAGATGTTGTCGTTGCCCATTTCTTCGGCCATCTCAACGTTGGCGCCGTCCAGGGTACCAATGGTGAGGGCGCCGTTTAACATGAACTTCATGTTGCCCGTACCCGATGCTTCAGTACCGGCAGTGGAGATTTGCTCCGAAAGATCAGCGGCGGGCATGATTTTCTCGGCCAAAGTGACGCGGTAATTTTCCAAGAAGATTACCTTCAGCTTGTCACCCACAATTGGATCGTTGTTGACAACATTGCCGACAGCGCAGATCAGCTTTATGATCTGTTTGGCTACATAGTAACCAGGCGCGGCCTTGCCACCGATCATAATGGTACGTGGCGTAAAATTGGCGGTGGGATCCTTCTTAATGCGGTTGTACAGAGTGATGATGTGTAAACAGTTTAACAACTGACGTTTGTATTCATGGATACGTTTAACCTGAATATCGAACATAGAGGCAGGGTTCACTTTGATGCCATAATCATTCTCCAAGATTTGTGCCAACTTCAGTTTGTTCTCTTGTTTCACACGTGCAACGTTGCGTTGGAAGTTGGGATCCTTGGCCCATTTCTTGATAGCTACCAACTGTTCCAAGTGTACTGGCCACTCATCGCCGATCTTCTCGGCAATTAAGTCAGCCAGACCGGGATTGCAGAGCAACAACCAGCGACGTGGTGTAATACCGTTGGTCTTGTTTTGGAACTTATGTGGCTCCAGTTCATAGAAATCACGGAAGAGATCCTTTTTCAAGATTTCCGAATGAATAGCGGCTACACCGTTCACAGCATGTGAGCCCACAATAGACACGTGCGCCATGTTGATGCGTTTCTCGCCATCCTCTTCCACCAATGACATGCGACGCATACGGTCAAAATCACCAGGATACTGCTTGGCCACCTTTTCCATGAACAGGAAATTGATGTGATAAATTATCTGCAAATGTCTTGGCAAAATGGACTCCAGCATGGAAACGGGCCAGCGTTCCAAGGCTTCGGGCAAGACGGTGTGATTGGTGTAAGCGCAGGTACGTACAGTAATATCCCAAGCCTTATCCCATTCCAAATTCTCCTCATCGATGAGGATACGCATCAATTCGGGAATAGCCAACGAAGGATGGGTGTCATTCAATTGGATGGCAACCTTATCGGGGAAGTGATCGAAGTGTTGGCGTACACTTTCCCGTGAGCCGAACTTCGAAGCCTTGTAGCGACGTACAATGTCGTGCAACGTGGCCGCGACCATGAAATATTCTTGCTTAAGACGCAACTCCTTGCCCTCGAAGAAGTTGTCGTTGGGGTAAAGTACACGTGAAATATTTTCAGCCAAATTACGATCCAACACGGCCTGGATATAATCACCATCGTTGACTAAAATAGTGAGAGGAAGTTAATTATAAGGGTAATTAGCGAATATAAGCGGTTAAATTCTACTTACAGAACTTCAAATTAAAATCGACGGGACTCTTAGCCGACCACAAACGCAATGTATTGACGTGATTGTTGCCGTAACCAGGAATGGGGTTGTCATATGGCATAGCGTACACAATCTGTGTGTCGACCCACTTCTTACCCTCGGGTGTATCAATAACGCGTCCATAGAAGTGCACGGGCCTCATGAATTCTGGACGTGCCTTCTCCCATGGATTACCGTAACGCAACCAATCGTCGGGTTCCTCTTGCTGCTCACCGTTTAAGATCTTCTGTGCGAAAATGCCGTATTCATAACGAATACCATAACCATAAGCCGCTAAACCGAGTGTTGCCATAGAATCCAAGAAGCAAGCAGCTAAACGACCCAAGCCACCGTTACCCAGACCAGCGTCTTCTTCGATATCCTCGAGATTCTCAATGTCCAAACCCAATTGATACATGGCCTCCTCACATTCGCTTTGAATGCCAAGATTGATCATGGTGTTTTGGAGTGAACGACCCATGTAGTATTCCAGAGACAAATAGTAGACGCGCTAAAAGGAAAAAGAAAACCAATTTTTTTAATAAAGTTTACAGTTTTTAAGAAATTTGAAAGTATAAAGTTATGTTATTCAATAAATGCTAAGGAAATAATAAAATATTCCTTACTACAAATAAATATATTTTATCAAAATCGAATAATATTATATATAACCTTGTGCAAATGGTTCCGGGATATTGATTATTGTCACTGACATACAAAAAAAGTTATATGATCTGCACACAAAATATCCAACTCAAACCTGCTAATCTAACACCCTTTTCTCTCTGGTTCGACTCCGACAGAACAGAACGTTTGCTGAACATACAGACGTATAACTTGCTATCTAACTATCACAATTGAAGAATATATGAAGAATTTTTACAACCCAATTCAACATAAAGGCTATGAAAGACATCTTCGAGTGTTTTAATTTATCGGATTTACTATCTTAAATTTAGAGAGAATTGGACAACTTCAACAATTTTTTTCGGTTATGATAGCAATATTAGCTGAAAGTCATTTACGAAGTGATTGAAAGAGAGTCGGATTACCAAGAATATAAAAACTCTGTTAAAGTAGTACATTTCATTCATCGATTTCAAAATGTTCTTTATAGCCATGTCCTTTTCTGAATTATTCGACTGGACTTGAGCTTAATCTCTGTTGCGACCACTATGACCTCGACTGAACATAGTAACCTCCGAATATATTTCTGGCCAGCGCTCGGAGTCTACTTGAGATTTATGGACTTCTGCTTTTATCGGATAATATCATGATGCTCATTTAGTAAGGTAGCTATTACAATTTCATATCATTTGCTACCCCAAAACCCAAAACGGTATAAAATGTTTCCTAGAGTACTTATTTTTTGTTGTTGTTAATATATTTAGTATATAGGTTCATAACAACCAGGACATTAAACTATGGACTACACTAACTGGATAGTTAGAACCACCTCTTACGAGTGACACAGTATCAATAAGATAAGCACTCATTTGGAAATCACGGGTAGTGGAGTAGAGAGACTCAAACTCCGAAAATTATTTAATAAATTTAAAAATTAGCCTCTTATAATAAAGAAAACCATGCTGGCAGAAATTTCTAGTAATATTATTCAAACTGCCTACGATCAACATACTAGGGTTATAGCCAACGCTTACCCCACCACTATTCACATGAATACTGCTACGTTAGTTCATAGAGACCTAAACTTTTATTTATAAGCCAATCTACAATCTTCTTATGCATTTTCTGATTCCTATTTTAAACTAGCATCGAAAACATAACTTTGTATGTCCAAAGTTTCAATGGATAAGGAAGTGAATGGCGTTTTTCCCGCCTATTTTTTACGACAAAAATAGTTTTGTGGTTGGGAAAACATTTGAAAAATAACGTTTAACTTGTAAAATACTAGATGTAAAAAATATGAAAAGTTCTGAAAAACGTTTGAGGGTAGGCAAATTTGCGTTTTCGAAAAAAGAAAATATATTTAATTATTGGAAATGTATATTTTTATACTCTCGCAACCTGTTGCTACAGAGTATAATAGTTTTGTTCACCTAACGGTTGTTTGTATCACCTAAAACTAATCGAGTAAGATATAGGGTTATATATATATAAATGATCAGGATGAAGAGACGAGTTGAAATCCGGGTGACTGTCTGTCCGTCCGTCCGTGCAAGCTCTAACTTGAGTAAAAATTGAGATATCTTTATGAAACTTGGTAGACATGTTTCTTGGTACCGTGAGACGGTTGGTATTGCAGATGGGCGTAATCGGACCACTGCCACGCCCACAAAACGCCATTAATCAAAAACAAATAACTTGCCATAACTAAGATTACAGCTCCGCAATAAGATACAAGACTGTTATTTGGTACACAGGATCACATTAGGGAGGGGCATCTGCAGTTAAAACTTTTTTTAAAAAGTTGGCGTTGTCCCGCCTCTAATAGGTTTAATGTGCGTATCTCCTAAACCGCTATTGCTATAATAACAAAATTCACTACAAGCAAATGTTTTTAGCACTTCCATTGACGGTGTGAAAATAGTTGAAATCGGGTGGCAACTCCGCCCACTCCCCATATAACGGTACTGTTAAAAACTACTAAAAGCGCGATAAATCAAGCACTAAACACGCCAGAGACATTGAATTTTATCTCTGAGATGGTATAAATTGGCTTTATAGGAACCGCGTTCAAAATTAGTCAGTGGACGTGGCACAACCCACTTTTAGGTGAAAACCCATATCTTGAGATCTGCTCAACCGATTTCAACCAAATTCGGTGCATAACGTTCTTTTCATGTTTCTATGTCATAGTGCGAAAATGGGCGAAATCGGACTACAACCACGCTTACTTCCCATGTAACACCATTTTCAATTCCATCTGATTCTTTCACTATTTTTATATGCTATGCAAATATACTATGCAAATCAGGTAACAATGATTATATCGGGGTAAAACTTTGCGTGAATAATGCAATTAAAGTATGCCACCTTGCGGCCAAAAATTGTCTAAATCGAACCAAAACTGTTCAAACCCCTAAGTACTAAATATGTGGACCCCAGTGCCTATAGTTGACCTTCTACCGAAAATATCAGTCAATCCACAAAGAAATCTCAAACGAGTATACCATTTGACTTTGCGAGAGTATAAAATGTTCGGTTACATCCGAACTTAGCCCTTCCTTACTTGTTATTCATCTTTTATTATATATCAGTAATAGCATTATTCAAAGCTCTACTAGAATACTAGAGATCCATTTCTATAAATTAAAAGACCCAATATTTTAATTCTAAATTGACCATAGTATCGTTAAGATCTGTAATGTACAGCTGATAGCAAACAACAATCGCCTTATGTTTATTTTTAAGTTCTCCGTCATTTTAAATAAGATTAACATTATCAAAAGCAATCGCTTTAAATTTATCGAATTTTTGTAAGTTTTAGTATCCAAACCAAGAAACTACTTATTCGTGAAGGTAAATAAAATTAGTTTTTTAAAGTATGGATACTTAAGAGATGAAATTGTGCCAAGGGGAATTCCAATAAAAAAGTTCAGTTGCAATAACATGAATACAATACATTTATGTTATGTATATGTATGTACATATATGTAAGTATGTTTGTTAGTAAGTTGCAATATTTGAACAACTGTAATATCAGCTTGAGGCAAGGTAGTCAATACTAATTCACGGCTAAGCGATAACACTTGAGGCACGTTCGCAGCGAGTGCGGTTCAAGTGCATATAAAATTCATTATACCCTGAACAGGGTATATTAAGTTTGCATGAAACTTGTAACACCCAGAAGGAAACGTCGGAGACCCTATAAAATATATATACATACATAAATGATCACCACGATGAGATGAATTGATTTAGATTGTCCGTCTGTCTGTAGATGTACGAACTAATCCCTCAGTTTTTCAGCTTTCGATCTGAAATTTTGCACCTGTGCCTTAGTGAGGGAAAAACTGCTCATTGTCAGAACGGCCGATATCGGACCACTATACCATATAGCTGCCATACAAACTGAACAATCGGAATCAAGCGCTTGTATGGGAAACTTTTTATTTGACGATATATCTTCACGAAATTAGGCACGAGTTATTGTTTAAGGCAACAATGTATTATTCGAAGAAATTGTTCAGATCGGACCACTATATCATATATGTAGTTGCCATACAAATTGAACAATCGAAATTAAGTACTTGTTTGTGAAGGGTATTATAGCTCCGGTGCAACCGAAGTTAAAGTTTTTTCTTGTTTCAATTTGCTAGTGAAAATTTCAACAGGGAACTTTGGAAATATATATGTTTAGTTACTTACATGCAAACATATATGAATTATATTTATTCGTATACAGTCCTCGCTATAAGTAAAAAACATAAACAAAACTTGCAAAAATGCCTATGATCAACTTTATGACCATGCTTATTTATACAAATGTAACAGTAAGTCAGTATGTAAGCCTTCTCCAGCAAACTTAACACGATCATGCAACGTGGTTGTGATAACCGCGCCCTCCCGTTCTCTCTTTGCTTCCAGTCACATTACTAATTCCAGTGAGTAATTCAAAAGAAGTCGTCAAAATATGTAATCGTAAAGTGTTTCTTCAATTCACAACGAACGTTAGCAACAAAAAGATTATTTATTAAAGAAATTGAGTCGATATCGCGACAGAAGCGTGGCGTTGATAACAATTTGTATAGTATCCGCGCTCTTTAAGCCATATAAAAGGTACAAAGTTCTCTTTTTCCGATTGTATTCTCTTACATTGCGATCTCTCTCCATAATATTTGTTATTAACATTGAATAACTGATCAGCTTGGAGCTTTAAAAAAAAACATTCAAACATTAAAAACATTGTGACCTAATTAGCTTGTCTCACGTTTGTTGGCAAATAGCCGGGCGCTTGAAGATTCGATTTGTCTTCGAAACTGCTGATAATAAATTAACCAGTGCAGGGACTATAACAAAAAATATTTATTCATAATTGCAATAAATTATTATCGGTACTTAGGCGTTTAATGGAGCTTAGTTACTATCTGAGTTTATAAACACTAGTTTAAGCAGGCACTTATCAGTGTTAGTCACCGCCCTGTAGCCGGTATAAAAATAAATAAGCATGTATGTTTGTCGATAATTGTGTATGACAGTGAAAATCATCCAAACAGTTCAATATTGATAAGAACATTCATAATTTTCCATTTATTTATTTGTATGATAATTCGTATCTGTGTTTGTATGGATTAGACCAAAGGGTGAATAAATGGCAAGAGGACTAAGAAATGTATTAAAAGTATGTTTAAAGGTTCTCTGGAATTTCGGCGTATACATTTCAAGGCATTTGTCTTAAATGGTCAATTGACAAGTCCATTTTTTGATATAGCTCGGTCACCAAAAATTTGTCCTAATTAAGTATGGGTTCACTATATGACTTGTTGCAACATCTTGACATTGATTTGGGGGTCCAAATATTCGCGAATCGTATGGACCAATAATGCC